ACTTGCATTTTTTACATGCTTTCGAACTGCTAGGTTGGCAGAAGCTAGGACAAGGAACGGGGGCTCACTCGGTTACGCGGCGCTGGGGATTTGAACCGCTGAACTGCCGACCTTTCTGATCAACAAGCTCAGCATCTTCGCCACTGACTTATATGACTTAAGGCCAGCTTATTTGAAGAAATGTCATCCCAATGATTAGGGATGTACATCTGGTGGGACCAGGGCCTTCTTCATGGTGGCCTCTTTTCTATGGAACATCATCTCCAAGGTACGGTTGAACACCCCCCCCCACCCCGTGTTGCTTTTCTGAAAGGCCTTAAAAACCTCAGGGACACCGAATAGAGAAGGAGCCAATCAAGTTGTTGATTTGATTATGTTGTTACTGCAATAGGAGTGGATACTTTAATGGGTTCATACCAAAGGTAGGTTTCTACTGGTTTGCACAGGTTCGGGCAAACCGGTAGTGGTAATTTGGCCTTGGTCACAGAACCAGCAGCAACCCAGGCTGGCCGCGCCCCAGAATTGGTTCCCCGGTCACTGCTGCCGTTGCTGGCATGATTTTTAGTAGTTTTTCACATTCTTCACACAATTTACAGTGAACTGCACATGCGCCGGCGAACTGAACCAGTACCAACGCTGGTAGGAGCTCACCCCTGGTTCATATGTGGTAGATTTTTAATGGCTGTAAACCACACAGAATCACCTCTATGTGAGCTGGCTGGCCATTTTATTTTTTGGTTTGTATTCCTTGCTGCTTTTAAATCATTCCTTATTTTTTCGTGGTTGGCCTTTAATTGGGCTGTCTTTAATTATTGATCTTTGCGGGTTTCTTATTGTGCTTTTCGGTTTTATTCTGCCCTTTCCACATTTTTAATGTACTGCCTGCGATTTTCTCATTAGGAAAAAACCCAATCCAAGATAAGGCTTAGCGAAGCCCACCCCTCTCCCAATTTGTCAGCTCATTTGTCCTTAGTATTGTTTATCAAATCCTGCCACTCGATGGCTATTTTTAGACGATGAAGTCATCCAAGGATTGCAATATCCTTTAACATTTTTTTTTTAAATCACGTTTAGGTTTCCTTGAATTAAGTGCCCTTTTCAAAACGACCTGCCAACTTTCCCAACTACCCCTTCAAGGGCAAACGGAGAAGGTCTGAGTCACTCCCACAGACTGGCAGTAATAAATCCAGTGTTGAGGGAATATACATCCCTGGAAGAGCTCCTTGTAGAGGGCACCACCAAGAAAACACTATAAATCATCGCTCATTGACCTTTATTCCCGGGAAAACACATCAGGCTGAAAAATATGCCCCGTTTCGAGGTGATGCAAATGTATACGGGAGTCATTTCTCTATAAAGGTACAGAATTTCTCTATAAAGGTACAGAACCCACACTGCGTATTGGACATTAATACAATTAACCGAGTCCAGAGATATTTCATGAGAAAATCTGGATAGTGGATGTGGCAGTGCCTGGAGAGGAGAGAAGAGAAAGAACTGGAGAAGATTTTAAAAAACACACAAACAAGACTTGTAAATAGAAATAGAATGACTGTGGCAAAAGCAAAGGAAGTATAGCCCCAATAGTAACAGGTGCCCCAGGTGCATTCCCAAAACAACTGGAGCACCACTTGAACCCCATCGGCAGCAACAAATCCAAAGTCAATTGCAAAAGGCAGCTTTACTTGGAACAGCCTCCATCCTGCAGCAACATCTGTAACACCATCGAATATCCACATCTGCCTATCCCGGGTCTTTGGGAAGGACAGGCAGGCAAAAATGCCAAATCCAGTGTGAACATCTGGCTGACTGTGTGATGAACCATAATAAGAATGCTGTAATACTATGGTTTAACATATGTACGTACGTACGTACGTACGTACGTACGTACGTGTGTGTCTCAGTGTATGAGTTCCTGACTCGGCAGAGACATGGTAACATGGTCAGCCAATGAATAGACATGGCAACTGGGTCAGCCAATGAGGGCTGTTTGTAAACTGAAACAGTATTTGCTGTGTGAGCAACAAGGAGACAGCAAGGAGCCTGGGCGTGGCTTAGCTTAACTTCTGTACCAGGGGTGGGTTCCTGCCAGTTCTAACCTCTTCTATAGAAGAGCTCCCGCAAATCTACAGTGCCGTTTAGATCCAGTTCCAGCTCCCCGCCACCCCTGCCCATGCGCACATCTTCAAGATGAAGAGCGAGAGGAGGAATTCTGGCAGTTGAAGTCCACAAGTCTGAAAGCTGTCAAGTTTGAACACCCGTGGGGTTTTTCTCCTAAAGGGTTAGGGGTGCAAGGGTCTTGTCACTTGACAGCTTTAATACTTGCGT